TTTTTTGACTTTTTATTATTAAGTTGCATACAAATTAAACATTTTAGAGTAAATATTTCTAAAATAAATATAAAACATTATTTTCGAGATATATTTTGTTTGTAAAAAAGGTAACACTTCTCATTTTATGTTGTTCAAATAAATACATATCCTTTAAAGTTCTCTTTAAAATGTAACGAAATAAATTGTAATCTACAATTTTTTAATATTGTTATATTTATAAGTAATTAAAAGAAATCTAATTAATTTAATATATTTATATGTCAAGTAAAAGCTTTTAAACAAATATAATATATTATTTAATAGATAATATTTTTTGGTAAAAAAGAAACTATTCTTATTTTCTTTTTTCAAAAAACACATATTTAAAAAAAATATTAGCGAGATAAGTTGTGTTCTACTAGTTTTTATTGATATTGGTATATTAATGAATAATTTAGAATTTTTTAAATTCATTTAATATATTTATTAAATAACATGTAAAATATCTAAATATTAAAATTAAAAATACAGTGTTTAATAAGAAATAGTAGATACTATAATAAAATAATTTTGAAAGTACAATGATGTAGTAAGAAAACCACATCACTATAGTACATGTGGACGACCTACGTGGACAATGAGGTGGTATGGAAACCTGGTATAATAGGTAAATATAAATCAAAAGGTTACCCAATGCTATAATGAATAAATTTTTCAAAGTACAATGTCCTAATAAAAAATAGTTTGAAAATGCATTGCTGTAATAAAAAAACTAGAAGTACAATGCTATAATAAAGAAATTTATGAAAGTAGATTGTTATTTTGTGCATTTTGCCCTAAACTTTATGCATAAATTCTTTTTCTAAGTAAAGTTTTTAATGACCTTTAATTATTTAACTTTTTTTATTTGTAAAATGACAAATCATTTTATATAATTAGAAGGGTACTCGCGTAATGCCACGAGATACATCTTCATTTTAATCTTTCGTTTTATTTTTCGTCTTTGTTAATATAATACGGTTTATGTGGTTTTAAGAAAAATAATGCTTTTTACTTTTGAATAAAAATAAATTTGAAGACATCTTAAAAATTTGAAAAAGTATATCAATATTAATATCGAATTAATTATTTAAAAATTATTGTTTTTTATACAATTTCTTTAATTCAATTTTTTTTATTATACTTTAATTTAGGTCAAAATGAAGTAATTTATTTTTGGCTTAACAATAAAAAATTTATAAAGATAATGATTCTGTTAGAATTCAATGATTATCTTAATTATATTTTAGATTTTTTATTTTTAAAATGAGAGATTTATCATGTATTTAATTATGTTTATCTACAATTAGTTATACGAATTTTAAAATAGAGCTTTAATAAGTTGTGCATATGCCCAATTTACTTGTAATCTTAAATTTTTAGTAATATACATTAGTACACAATACTTCATTCATAAATAAATGGTTTTTAAGAGTCTTTATCAAATATTTTATAATATAATATAAATAACTATTTATATAAATTTTTACAACAAAAAACAAAGACAATGACATATGCAACCATCCAAGCATCCTCATCAATCATCATATCCGAATCCGATCCAAAACTTCAAAAACTTCCTATATCGATCTTTTGTAATTGGGCTTTAGAAAATGAAGTCCATATGGCCCGTTAATGGATGTGGTTTTTATATATCTTGATTTGATATTCATATGTGAATAACTTAAACAATATATCAACCCGTTTAAATGTATCACCATTTGAGTTGATCTATTATAATATTAGCAAAAAGTTGTTTTTCTTCCTACCACATCCCCCATATTACCTTCTTACCTCCCTAACTTCACTCTAATTATAAATGGAAATTGTATTTGTATCCCTGAACCTAACATGGAGAGGATTTTCTGCTTTGGTGCATAACGGGGTTCATTTTTATACCCGAATTACGGTTATACCCTAATCTCATCTCGGTTATACTGTTTATTTTGCTAAATATATGTATATACATGGTTAGATTCTATACAAGAACATGGTCAAAGTAAGATACATGAAAATGTCTATATCAAATATAATTTTAGAGTAAAATCACACATAATTAAAGAACGGTCAAACTAGGGGAGCGCTTCACCCGATGACCTAGGTGCTTTGACTTGTTTTTTAATCACATATAATTTTACTCTACAACCACATGCGACATAGATGTTTCCATATTCTTTATTTTGACATTTTTCTTGTTTGAATATATATATATATATATATAGAGAGAGAGAGAGAGAGAGAGAGAGAGAGAGAGATATGCTAGCAGACACAAGTACAACAATAGAGACAAATATAGGGTAACAAAGATGCTTCATTGTTCATGGTGTTCAATCAAGAAAGTTGATATTATTTTTGATTTTGTTATACTTTAAGTCCATATGAATGTAACAAAAGCTCCAGAACTCCATAATTTATTGCAATTGGAAGGCAAAATTCAAATGTCTAAATATCCACCCTTGACAAATAAACGACATTATGTTTCTATGACCCATTCTTGTTCAATCCCCGTGGTTTTAAGGCATATACCAACTATACCAAGGATGGCCGTTCACAAAAGCCCAAAGTCCGACATGAAAAAGTTGGGCCTAGCAAGTTGGAAACCTGATTGGGCCATGTTATTTTTTTCCCAAAAGCTCGAAAAAGCCAAGACCTTTTTTTGGCTTACTAAAAACAAGCTTGGAAGGCTCGACCTAGTTTGAGCATGGTCTGGTCACAGTTGTTGTTCAGGCCTTGTGGTGCCCGCTTATAACAACCCAAAACTCAAATTAACCATAATTCATTATCGAAGTCCAACCATCATCCAAGTAAACAAGTATAACAGTTTCTCAATACATCTTAAATGCTTGCAGCAGAAAAGACATACATCCATAGTTGAGAATTATTACAAGCTAAGGACAGAAGAAACTAAGTCGACTTGTTCCCCTACTGGAAGAATCACATCTTCCTTTTCCCTTCAAGCTACTCTCTACTTGATACTTCCCCTGGAATTTGTTTTATTTTCTAAATGCGAGAGTTAGACCATAAGGTTTAATGAATTCTCTTCAACACATTTCAGAATTTATAAACAATTGCAATATTGATAAAGCTAACAATGGAAACATCGTACTCAATTAAAATTAGAGCACATCCCCATCACACGTACATTACACATCATTTGTAGCCACACCATCACAACCCCGCGTGACAATGCAATTCATGCCTCCAGTAGATGCCTATCCAATGTGCTAGAGAAACAAATTTAAGGCACACGGATTATCACTTCCAAGGGATATCGCTATCCACAGGTACCTTGCTCCTGCTTTGTAACTCCACACACCCCACATAGCCACATATAACTCAATTTCATCAATGGTATACCATTATAGATTTTGCACTTCAAAACCATAATGCATAAATTCATATTTAGTGCTCAAAAGTATTTAGAAACAATCTCAAGTCATAAAATTCAATGTAAGAGAACCCATTTGGCGATTCACACTCCACCCCAAGCCTAACAACTATAAAGCTTAAACCGAACGCCAGAATTAACCAAGATCTAAAAGGTGTTAACCCAACTTAAACCTCCCAAAAATCTTCTATTATAACCCTTAAAAGAACCCCTAGAAAGATACCCTAAACCTTGGCTTGAAACGAGAAACGAAGCTGACAAAACTGCACAAAAAGGTTGTGACACAGGTCGTACGACTTTTTGTGTGGTGCTGGTTCATTCCTTTTCTTCCAGGCCCGCTGTCAACACTCCAATACACATTAATCCATCAAATTCCAGTCAAATATGTGGTGTTAAACAAAAGGGAACTCCCGAAAACATAATTTACTCAAATCTACTTACTGAGCAACAGTAATCAAACCCAATCCAACTAAAATCATGATTCCATCATCCTTAGAATTGCATAGTCAAATTAACCCAAAAAAAAGCATTATTACTTGAATTTCATTTGGTTTGAACCCAAAATTTTGTTATCATCGTCATTTATTGGTATAGTCATTGGATGTTATTGAAGAAGTTGAAAGTCAAAAAGACTAATAATACATCATGAAACTCAAAGTACATGAAACATTACATCAATATTATGCATAGTCAATAGATATTAATGAACACAATAAGGTTTTATATTAATGAACAACTTTATTATTTTATTTTAATTAATTATTTATTAATTTTTATAATGGACTTTAGTAGGAGATTACAGGGCTGTTTGTTTGTTAAGTCCTGTATGAATAAAGTTGGTTTTATGCATAAAGTTTTTAGTCTGTTAATAAAACTGTTGTTTGTTTGTTATGCTGAATAAACTGTCTGAACAATTAAAATGACCGTTTTGCCCTTCTATTTGGTTTTTGTTTTATTGATCTCCCGACACCATTGCGTTGCCGGTTAAGAAAACCAAAACAAAATTCATTACAGATCAACGAATTGACCTCCAAATAAGAATCTAAACACAAATTCAATAAAAAAAATCTTAAGAACATCAAGAAAATAAATCTTTAAATCAAATACAAACAATATGTGACAAAAAATCTCAAACACACATCAAATACAAAATCAATATCTTAATGACATCACATCCCCAAAATCAAATCCAAAATGACAAAAAACATGAAATTAGCATTGTTCTTTAACTTGTCATTCTTTTCGTCTTTATGATTTATAATTTATTCTTGTTTTTTTTCTTGTGATTCATAAATTGTTGTTTTCGTCTCTTATAATTAAAGGTAGGAGTCAGACTCAAAACAAGAATAAGCAATGAATTTCAAACCATATGAATGAAATTGCAACTTCGAAAGGACAAAGTTGGTAACTTTTAGCAAACTATAGGGACAAAAAAGTAATTTTCTAAAAGTAATAATATGAATTGGATCTTTATCCTCAAAATTTGGGGTCACCATTACAATGAAGTTGCAATTATGAGGTTGTAAAATGCAATTGTTTTTCTCCATCTCTATTCAAGTGCTTTTTTATGCCATTATATTTTTTCATACAAAGCTTTTGAAGCTTTCTCTCCTCCCAACCATGGCTATGGAGTGATGTAAACACCACAGAAAGGCAAAACCCTTTCTATTCTTATCCCCATTTGCAAATAAGTAGGAGGGAAAGATTTGAGAGAAATGAAGACTTCCTTCAACTTTTGGTGGTGAGGGTATTCATGAAAAGAGATCAACTTTTCCTATCTTTCTCCTTAAGATGACAACTTTACAAGAACCCCAGCTCGATTTAGAAGCCGGCGGTAACAGTGGCGGTGGAGATGACACCGGCCCGCAGTCAGGATCATCTGATGGTAATGAAGAGAGTAGCACGACTACTATTGAGATCGTAGGGATGGTGCCGGAGGAGAAGGGAAGGGCATCCTCTGTTTCAGAGTTCGTGGTGGTGGATCTTGAGAGCGGCAGCGGTGGTGGCAGTGACGGTGGTGTGGAGGGTAGTAAGGTACATTTGACAAGAATTGAAAAAGATTGCAGGATTTGTCATTTGAGTTTGGATGTAAACAATCAAGAATCTGGAAATGGGATTCCAATCGAGTTGGGCTGTTCTTGTAAAGATGATTTGGCAGCTGCTCATAAACACTGTGCTGAAGCTTGGTTCAAGATTAAAGGCAACAGGTAATTAACTACCAGACAATGCTTCAAGATTTGATTTTTATAACTTCTTTAAGATACCCATTTGCATTTTTTCCATTTTCCATGCTCAAGTTCACATTATGCTTCAGAATTCATAAATGTTTTTAGGATTTTTTGTGCTTGTTTCTTGCTTATAGCTGTATACATTCAGACTGTTGTTCAGCACTTATCTGGGCCTTTGCTTTAGAGTAGAAACTAATGCTGGTTTCTTTGTCGCCATTTGAGGTTTTGAATATAGTTTGTGGACATTTAGGAGCCAAAGATTGGTACATTGTAAAGGGTATGCAGCCAAAAAGAAAATGTAAAATTTAATGAAGTAAACACTTCAAAAGAGGTAGTGAATACTTTAAGGAATGCAAGATAAGGGAATATTTTCAGAAATAAAGTCGAAAAAGCAGCTTATAAAGCAAGAAAGAAAGGGAACCAAGGCTTCTTTGCATTGGGATTGGAGGTGGAAGCCTTTGGTTTTTGTTATCGAGAAACTATTGAAAAATAGGAATAACTTTACTCGTTCTTTCAGTATTATTTCTTTACAGATATACGATCTAATTGACCTTGATTGAAACTTATTTAAAACATAACGAGTTTGAATCGGACGATGTTAGATGTGTCTGAGGAAAAAAAAGTGTGAGAATATGTATAACTTGGGTTCCAACATAATATATTAGAGATGAAATGATCTAAGTCTAGCTGATAAAAGACTCTAACACGTACCTTCCAACGGAGACTAGACGGGCACAAATTGTTTGAGAGTGTCGAAAGGGTGCTAAATGGGTGAGAGGGCTACACAAGTAAGATTGTCCCAAAAATGTCAACTTTTGCTCTAATACCATGTCAAAACACATGGAACTCTCAAATTACTTTCCAAAAGAACCTTAAGGAGAGAAAAAAGGTTGCAACATATATAGAGTTGAAATGATTCAAGTCTAACCAATTAAAGAATCTAATGAGAAGGATTTACAAAAACTTAGGGGCCGTTTACCAAATACTTACCTGAGTAAGTGCTTACCGGCAAAATTCAACACTAGAACTTACTTACTTACCGGGTAGGATTTTAGTCCATCAAACCGTATCGTATGCAACAATTTACCCGATAAGCGCTAACCATGATGAAAGTCGTCACTCTCACTTGGTGGCTAAAACCCTCGGTCCTTGATAAACTCTTAACCATACAAGTGTTATATAAACTACAGTTATTTGTGTTGTGTGTATTTTGCACATGGGGAAGTCTGCATATGGGTTACTCATCAATTAACTTTGATGGAATTCGCTTTCTACTTTCTCTTTTCTTATTTAAAGTGGGATTTGACTCAAACCAACATAAAAACTTTTAAAAGCTTAAAGATTCATTTAAAAAATGCAAATCTTATGAGATGACATATGATTCGCATCACTATATCCTAGGAGTGCTGGCATCCTAAGTTCATGGAAAGATTGGATTGCTAAAATTCCATTACATTATTTTTTAAAAGAGGGTTTTTAGGACGTTCGAATTTTACGTGGGTTAAATTTTCTTTTATCTGTAGTGATATTTTAAAGAGTAATCTGTAGTTTTATGTATTCTTATATGGTATTAGAGACAAAGTCTACTACTATAAGGACTCCACATAGAGTCGATTTATACTCGTCTAGCCATGGTGACTAGTGAATCCAATCAAGATATAACCATGTTTTTTATGATCTCTTTTCGGCAAAAGAGAGTTTACACTACAACAAAATTAGGTTTATAGGACACTACCAATCTCTAAGTGTCCTAATAGACCGCTTTATAGGACCAAAATATAAAGCGTCCTATCTAAAGGTGTTGTAATAAGTTTATATGATGCTTTTGGGTGTCTTAACAAGTTTTTTAGAACATTTTTAATACAAAATGTTGCATTAGCAACTTTATAGGAGACTTTTGAGAAAGTGTCCTATAAACTCAATTTTTTATAGGATAGTTTTTCAAATAGTGTCCTATAAAGTTGCTAATGGGACGCTTTATATTAAAAGTGTCATACAAAACTTATTACGACGTCAAAAAACGTCATATAAACTTATTACAACGCCTTTAGGTAGGACGCTTTATTTTTTGGTCATATAAAGTCTTATAAAGAAGTCTATTAGGACGCTTAGAAATTGGGAGTGTCCTATAAACCCGATTTTGTTGTAGTGTTAATTTTATTTTTGTCCTTGTATGCTAATTTGGTTTTGTATGGTTTAAAAATCCAGAACATGTGAGATCTGTGGATCAATTGCACTAAACGTTGTTGGTGTAGACGAGACTGCATTGATGGACCAGCGGAATGAAGCGAATGGTGGCACACCATCACGATCTAGTGCACTTGGTGAGACCATGGGTTCGTCAGAAGCCCCCAACTTCTGGCAGGGACATAGGTTTCTTAACTTTTTGCTAGCTTCCATGGTTTTCGCGTTTGTCATCTCATGGCTATTCCACTTTAACGTCCCATCATGAAAATGGTCGATGAGGTAGTTGTTTGTAGTCGGGTATGGAGGAAAAATAATATGCACATTTTTGTTCTTGTTTGTTTGTTGCATAATTTAGTGTTTGTAAGGCTTCTTTCGATCTTGTTTTATTGGAACTTTAAAATATGTATCTATGTAATCTCTTACCCATTTCTTGGACAAATAGAAAATGAAAAATTCAATATATATATATATATATATATATATATATATAGAGAGAGAGAGAGAGAGAGAGAGAGAGAGAGAGAGAGAGGTTCAGGAGAAAACCTAAAAAATGGAAAATCGAAAAACACTTTTTTATCCTTTAGATCAAAAAATCAAGGTTCAAGATTTAAATGGCATATTCGAAAATAACTTAAAAGCAAGGGCAATTATGGAAATATCAGCATTAATTAGAGGGCATAATTGGAATAAAATTATAATTATCTTTTCTTTAATTTAAATCCCTAAATTATCTATATCGTTATCTCCATTATTGTAACTCTCTCTCTCTCTCCATGAATTTGTTTTTACATGTGCATGCAAAACATGTTCATCGTCTTCGTTTCCTACGATGCTAAAACTGGATTCAGTTTTTATGAACAATTGTTCATGTGTTTACTTCTGAACACTATTCATTTTTTTTTAAATAATTGATAATTTGTACATACCTAGTTTTTGTTACGTGTATGTAGTTATCAGGTTCACATATGAACACAATACTTTTTTAAATGTTGAAACGAGATGGTGCACATATGAACAAGTGTTTACTTAAGTATAATTAAGAAAATGTAATCGACAATTAATTACTTGGAATAATTAAGAAATTTAACCTACAACTAATTTGTATGGCATATTCACAATGGCAAGAGATGGAATAATTAAGAAATGTAACCGAAAATTAATTTGCATTAAAAGAAAGATCAAATAAAAAATTACATTTTTACTCTCATTAAATAAATTTATCATGTGTATCAACCAAAAATATATCTTGTTTTTTATTGATTCATTTAGGTTTGTAAAGTTAACACCTTTTAATTGGTTAAAAAGATCTTACCTATATATATATACTAGAATAGTACTCGCGCAATGCAGCGAGACATATCTCGATTTTAATGTTCTATTTTATTATTTGTCTCTGTCGATGTTAATAAAAATTTAAAAAAAAAAATATAATGTTAATATCAAATCAACTATTTAAAAATTTTCATTTTTTATGTAATTTCTTTAATTTATTTTTTTAGTATAATTTAATTTAATGAAATAATTTATTTTTGATTTAATAA